GGGAGAAGGACTAGCTGCTATGATGGCGGCTGGAGTGGGAAGTATGAGGTTTACGTCGAAGTTTTGCACTTCCGTAGCTTTCATGCGCCAACATGTCACTCTCAGTATTGCTTGTTGACCGGTAAAGCATATTGTTTGGTATTTAAGTTAATAGAATAAAAATGGAAACTAAGATATAGTTTATAGAGAAAATCTTAAAGAAGCCTTAGAAAGAGAAATGCCAACTTCACATATGAGGGAATCTAATCGTTGGCTTCTTGATTAATAATAAAGATGTTGATTAAAATCATAACTGACACTTTACAAGAGAACAAGAAACAAAGTAAATAGGAAGAAGAAGAGGAACGTGTGAAAATGAAAGTACATCTAATCCAGTAAATGTTGGCGATGCATAAAGATACTGTGTCACTGGTCAAGAAATAAAATATTGCTCACTATATCGCTCACTTGAAAAATTATCGACATTCTATTTTATTACGAAGGTGCATATCATTGTTTTTATGTCTAGAAAAGTTCCGAGTACATTTCCTTTGTTAAAAAAGAAATTGTTGTGTCTACAAAATATTATAAGAATTCATACTTCTATTATGAACAATCAGATGTCATAGTAGGGTAATATCTTGTGCTACAAGCATATTCTTTCTATCAATGACATTATATACATTTAAACAGATTTTTATTTATAAATAATTAAAACCTCTATTGCGCGCATGATTGTAATGTTACATCTTTCCTGCCCAAAGCAGTTCAGAAAGGAAGGATAGTGGTGACTAAAAAGCTCTTTTGGGATCTAGGATAGGGATGCTTTGGAAGGAGTGAATGGGATCAAGTGTAAGACACACTAGTGAGAAGGAGAAGGGGGAAGCCATTCTAAGAGCCTTTGCTCGAGATGAGTGGGTGGGGTAGGCGGAAGCTTAGCGCGATATAGGTAATCGAGTTCATATAGGTTTCTGCATATGGTTGGCCAGCGAATGGTCCATGAGTGTGTTGTGTTAGGAGCGCGAAGTTTCTTGGTAGGTAACATATTTAAAAGGAAGGACAGTGGGTCAGAAATGGTTTGGGGCATTATAAGTCTACGGTGTATCTGGAGACAGTAAATAGCATGAGCTTTTGTGAAGGGTTGGCCAAGGTGTCGAAGGCAGGCTTTATATCGACTATCAGGGAGCCAACCAATACGCCAACGTATGCCCTGGATTATATACATTATTTTAGAAACTATTCGCACACACTACAAGATCAATAACAATAAACACTTTAGTTGAGTGTCTATGTCTTCTTTATTGTTTAAAAGACAACGTGTAATAATATATAAAATGAGCTTGATATTTTTGAATATAGAATAATGTGATTAAGACTTTATAACAAAATGAAACGTTGTTAGAGACTTCGCATAAATAGTCTGATCTTGACTTTTTTTTTCTTTGGACCAAGAAGTATGGCCAGCTATTCTTCAGCTAGTCCTAAGGTATGTTATATTCTTTACTCTTGTAAAGAAACTAATATGTAGTATTATAGATCATAAAATCGAAACAGCACCGATGCTAGCTGGGATAGTTTGGTTCTTACCAAACCTTGGTCCCATCCGCTCTCTTTCTTGCTCTCTCTCTTGCCCTTTTTTTCTTCTTTCCTTGCTGTCTTCTCCGGGTTAGTAATCACCAGCCCTATTTAATGTACTGCGGGTAAGATGTTGCTAATCTCTTTATAATTTTACTCACTTTTCTTGCTTCTCTGTTTTTCTCTTATAAACTCTCTTCTTTATAATGTAGTATTTAATATCAATCCAATAACTGATTTACTAATTATTTCTTTTATCTCATCCTTTTACTTCTGATGGGCTCTCTTTTATCATTATTTGTTGTCTGAAATTATCTTTTTTTTTT